AATAAAGTTACTCATTGGAGACTTTCAGCGCAACAATCAATCTTTGAAAGTACAGAAACAATGACAGCAACACTTGCCTGAGATTACCGAAAAAGGTATTTTTCTAGACCAATAAAGGAAGAGATTGATTCCACAACATAGAATTTTGATATGATTTCAGGCTCCTCTGACAGAAGAAATACAGTGGTGTAACCTATTTTTGGTGGATATAAGGATTCAACACCGAATTTCGTCAAAGTTAAAAAAACAAAAAAAAATTTTTATGTCTTAGATGTTTCCTCAGATATTCTACAAAATAATACAGATTGGTTTCTTTCGATTTTCTTAATGAATCCTTCACTTTGACCCATATTTCATGAGCAACCAACTCGGCAACGGCGGCAGAATGCGTCACTTATTTTCGTGTACAATGTTTGATCTATAAATAAGTCTAGAAAAACACGTTGTATGGATACCGGGTGGTATAATTAACTTCTCTTAGTATTTATCTTTAATATCAATTCATTATAACTAGTGACAATTCATTCAAAGAACCACGATTTAAAAAAAAAATAGTGACTGACAAAATAAGATACGTATCGTGATTTATTGCTAAAAGGCACTGAAACAACATAAGAATATGGTCCACTTTGTGTTCCATAGAAATTTTCTGCTGACACGGAATCCGCTAGTTGATCACGTGACATCATTCGTTGGATTATATTCTAGCAGATGACATTTGGAATTCCGATTACCGCTCGGGATTATAATGAAATTCGGCCGATAAAAAATGGTGACGTTTGGTAATAAGTGAAATCCGCCATTTTGTATTTGCCAAAGTATACATTAATACATTTTACCTTGCTTGAAACTACTGGATTCATTCTACTAGCTGATATTATAGAGAAAACCCATGTTTATTAAAACAAACTAATGCGGAGGTCGCGCAAGGTCGCTCACGTAAATTGTTAATCATTTCCAAAAATCCACGAATAATAGGTTTCCACGAAATTAGGTTACTCCCTGTACAAGTTCTGTAATCTTATACAATACAGTTATTGTCCCATTGCCTGATTACAGAATAGTGTAACATATTTCAGTTTCATTGGTTTGACTTTTTATGGATTCCTTTCATCTCCCATTAATTCAATAAAGAATATTTATACTGGAGTACTAACATGAAGGTTTCCCTAGGGCTTGCTGTACATGATCACACATTTCATCATATTACATGCATGAATAAAAGATCTGTGGAGCAAAAGTACAAATTGCAATTAGCCTTCATTTTTTATTCCGAAACTTTCATCGAATGATATTAGTTTGTTTTGAGGATAATGACAGTTGTATCATCAAATTAGCTCCATAACATATTCAGAATTCTTTCTTTAATATTCCACTGGTTGAGATACAGCTTAAATTTTTGTTTAGTTTTCATTAAAAGTTTTATCACTTATTTAATGCAAGCGCAAACAAAAACCTTTGAAATTATCCCCATAAACAAATTGAAGATGAATAGACAGACCAGCAACCAAGTTTCATGATAGATGGACTGACAGCAACCAAGTTTCATGAGTAGATGGACAGACAGACAACCAAGTTTCATAAGTAGATGGACTGATGGGTAACCAAGTTTCATGAATAGATGGACAGAGGGGTAACCATGTTTCATGAGTAGATGGACAAACGGGTAACCAAGTTTCATGAGTAGATGGACAGACAGCCAACCAAGTTTCATGAGTAGATGGATAGACAGCCAACCAAGTTTCATGAGATGAACAGACAGGCAACCAAGTTTCATGTGTGGATGAACAGATAGACCAGCAGCCAAGTTTCATGATTTAATAGACAGAGAGACCAGCAGTCAGGTTTCATGAGTTTTTACAACCAGAAAATTCATGAGTAAGTGGACAGTTGGGCAACAAGTTTTTTTTATGAGTGGATAGGTAGTCAGACAGGCAGCCAAGTCAAAGGTGAGAAGAAAATATAATTTACAAATAGACTTACCTTTTTCATTTATTTCCATCTATCATCCTCTTCATACCTTTCTTTTTTTCTTCATTTTTAAATTTAATTTTGTCTTTTTTCAGAATATATTGACTTTAGTGGGAAAATTCCATTTAACTTGTCAATGTTTTGAAGTGTTATATATAAAGGGAGACAAGTCTAGTTATTTTATATTTACACGAAAAGACGTGACTGAAGTAGCTCTTGAAAGTTAAATTACTCTAATCTCAATTTCTAAAAAATTATCATTTCTGTTGCCTAACTTTTACATTATCCAAAACACTAACTCCGAAAGCCCTGTGTTTTGTACCAAATATCAGAAAGGTGTTTTTCTTTTTTATTAATTTATTATTAACTATTCAAGATTTTTTGTTAAAAAAAAAAGATAATACTGGTTCATACCTCTAACACTTGGAAAGAGATAAGGGTCCATCTAAGTTTTGATCAAAGAATTGCTTTATTCAAGCTAAAGTTTATTTGATAGTTATCCTGGATGTGCCAAGATATTTGTAGAAACAAACATCGTGACCATCTTTTGTTTTTTTTTTAAAGGTTTTAAAATTTTATAGCATTTTATGAATTTTAAAAATGAGCATTTTTTCTGGATCTGAACTTATAAATCTTGTGTATTATTACTTAACCTCCTCGTGTTCTCAAATTGGTTTCCAATGCACAAATAAAACGGGCCACATTTCGGTTGAAGCACACCTGAGAGAAACTCAGTAAAAGAGAACAGTAGTCAACCCATATTTAGGATTACACCTAAACAATTACAGTAAACATTGGAAGTTTAGAGTTATCCCATGATATCAAATCAGACTTAAATCAAAACTCAAAAAGACTGAACTATGTGAATTAAACTAAAAAGAAGAGGTGTGCTTATACCATAATATTCCCTTGTGTTTGTGGTATGTACTCCTCACTACTATATGTCATTCAAGGCTTAAATTAAAAAGAGTTCAAAAGGACTGAAAAAGTTTGATGAAAGCTTTATAACACATGAACATATTTTAAATGTTTTGAAAGTTGTCACTGTCAATAAATAAATGTTAAACTTAAATCAATGTGAAAAGAATCATTATCAGTTGTATGGTCCAATGACAGAAATTGAAATAATAGCCTCATTGCTGAAAAGCTTCACAATATGATGGTTTATGCATGGTACCAGAATGACATCCCAATTAAGCAGGCTGAATATGTCACTTGCCAATGATACAATGTAGTTAAATCGTATACTATGTAAGCTTCAATGGTATATTTTAGGTTGTATATTATAAATGATAAATGTCGTAAATGAAGTATAGGCTACTGGTAATTATTTTTCATTATATCAAAGAAATGGATTTCTGAAATAACTGCTTCATTCAGTTTTATATAAATAATGTAAACCTTTGTCAATTATTTCTTATGAGTGTTTGTAATGCGTATATTATTCCATTATGAAATGTCTCGTCTGCAATTCTTAATTTTTTGAATAATTTGTTTTTCATCTTCCTTACCTGACTAAATAAAAAACAGGAAGTGCTCAAAGTAGATAAAGGGAAATAATAACATAAACAAAGTATAAGCTCTAGACTACAAATAAATCTTCATAAAATTACAAAGCGAAGCATTAACTTATCTATTTCAGAAAATAACGATATTATCTTTTAGTCCAAGTAAATATTCATGTATTCTAAATTTATTTTAGAATTTAAATACTCTGGATGATGAAAAACAATGTTATTATTCAAAATATTTATTTTTTTATTCATGTTTATAACACTTAAAATAAATATACAACAATCTATAATATCAATCAAGTCTTAAAAACCATGACAACACTTTGTGGCACACTTATCCAGTACTTCTATGAAAGACTCAAAACTTGTTCCAAACACATTCTGAAACTCAAAACCCAACACACCAGACACTCAATAGTAGCTGCTCTAATCATCAATTTGATTCAAATTTTAGTACACCTCAAGATATTGTGCTGTTTTTTCTTTCAGAAAACAAAAATGAAGTGTTTCAAATGAAAAGAAAATAAATGTTGGCTTTTCCTAAATGACTGCTGTTTAAATTGACTTGAACTATTCAATGTCAATTTTCTAAGAAAGGAAGACCATTTCTGATAAAATTTTGTGAACATCTATTGTGATATTTACTAGGCAGACTATATTGCTTCAATACCCTAAACATGTCATGACATGTCTGTTAAAATACCATTAGTACACCACTGAAATTTTTTGATATTTTCAGTTTTTGTTTTCCTAATAAAAATTTCATATATTGTACACAGTGTTTCGGGTTCGATGACTAGAATTTGTGGAATTGTGTTGAATATCAGGTTCAGTACGAGCTGTCACAGGAATAATAGTCACATGATCTGTATTGTGCCACTCGCGTAATAAGATATGTCCATTTTGTCCTAAATGTCCATTTGATTGCGATTTAGATGATGTTACAGTAATATCTTGTTGGAATCTTGGTAATAGCTCTTGTCTCTTTAAGGCTTGATTTTGATCGTACTTGGTCTGAAAAGATATAAAAAAAAAGGTCAAAAGTTGTTTGCAAAGTGCCATTATGTCTTCAGAAGCATACCCTGCATTTTGATAATCATAACTGTTAGCTGCTTGATGGAAGGTTATCAGAAGAAGCATCAGAAGGGATATGAACACAATTGTGTCTGGACATCAGCTTGACTAGTACGCCCACGTAACCATCCGACACAATATTCCGCTAAACGTATATCCTGAACAGCTAGTCATATGTGTCCTTAGAATTAGAGATTAGTAATCCAAAATGATACAAGTCGTCTGCATTGCTGCTCTGAAAAAGGTCATGATATAAAACTCTGAATTTCACTTGTCCAGTTCATAACTCACCCATCCTTTAATGATCTCTTACAGGCATGTTTAAAAATAGAAGAAAGATTTTTTGTTAAAATCGAAACCAAAATTCAATTTTAAGTGTTAGAGGACATTTTGGAATGTGAATCAGATATGAGTGACAAATATACACCAGCTAACATAGAGTCAATATAAATGTTGTGCTTTAAAGATAAAAACATAGTTTCCACAACTCAAATTTCTATAGAAAAAGGAACAAACCTTATTGTAGCATAGAACTCCAAATATTGCCACTAACATTCCTACAATGTTCATTGAAGTAACAGGATTCTGTAGAATTATTAAGGAACTAGATATGATGACAATACGTTTTGTGGCATTAGCTACAGCATACGATAATGGCATAACCATTGATAGTAATGTAAAGGCAAACACATTATGTAAGGCATTAAAAACAGAATCACATAGTATCAGGAATAAAGTCTGCATTATTTTACCACTTTCCATCTGAAATACAAAGAAGGAGATTACAGTTTTGATGGAAACCAAAAAATTCAGACAAAAAACAGTCTTTTTGTTCTTAATAGCTTTGCTGTCTTCAAAAGACTCTTGAATTGTAATCCGTACTAAAAAAAATCATTCTCAATTATGATGACTTCTTTGCTGATCTATTCTTTTTGACTTATTTTGGCATAACTCAAATAACAACTCATAGTTAATGATCTAAGCAGGTGTATACATTAAGATAGGTCACACTATACTTTAATATTTATTGCTCGTAGTAATTCACTTACAAATTCTTCATCATGTATGATTTTTCTAAAATCCCACAATAGCCAGAAAGGAATAAATAACATAGCTGCTATTCGAGAACATAATACTAATAATCTTAAATGATGGAGACCAGTCTCTTTTAAACACTGAAAAATATAACACATATCAAATAGAAATTTAAAAGACAATATTTCAGCAGAAAGTCTAAGAAATAGTCTGCTATATGAATTAATAGCTTTGAAACATTATTTTTGTGACAAACCTAACACCATTGAGCTTATAATAGTGCTTTGCCATTCAGTGTCCTGAATTTATCACGGCAGCAACAACTGCCAAGCATGTTTAATTAGCATAACTTTTAGCACATGGTTCCATAATAATATATGCATAATATTAAATGAAATTTTGAACTATCTAAATGAATGAATTTGCTTGTCAAATCTGGAAGTCCTTGATTAAGATAGTGGACCACAGCCATATACGCCCACCGCGGCATGGTAAATATTTGAGGTAAGGGCAATAACTTTGCTTCTTACGGTCGAAAATAAGTAAACTAAACTTTCTCAAACCTTTCGATTTAGGTCCAATAACATCTATTTTAAGTTTCATCAAAATCGGTTGAAAACTAAGAGAGTAATAGCATATTCAAGATGTCGGGGCAAGGGCAATAACTCTGCTAACAGTCGAAAATAGCTCAAATTCGAACTTGATCTTCGTCTTATGAATATGTATACACATACCGTATTTCATTTGATTCCATCAAAAACTCTAGTTTTTAGAGCGTTTACAAGCAAATGTTGACGGACGGATGGACCGACGGACTGACAGGGGTGCCGACAATATACGTCCATATAGAGAGATGTGGGCGTATAAAAAACAATATCATGATCATGCAAATTTTGTTAATATTTTCACCCTTACTGAAATATGATACAGGGTTCATACAGCACTTTGCCTTAAAAATTCAGACTTTTCAAGGACTCTGGGCTTTGAAATTCAAGGTCTTTTCAAGGATATTAGTCTGACAGAATACACATGTACCTAACTTCTGAACTGTGAAATCAATAAAGATAGTTAATATTTGTCAATGGGGTTAATGATAAAAATATACACAATTTGACTCAACTCAAAATTCAAGGACTTTTCAAGAGAAAATGGGTTTTTTATGGTGTTTTCAAAGACTTTTTTTGAAATCAAGGTTTTTAAAGGCAATGGACAGAATTCAAGGGTTTTTCAAGGCTGTGCGAACCCTGTGATACTAACATGATTGAAAGATGATTGATATATCAGCTGTTTGAACATTAACTAAATTAATCAATTGTAGATTATAATCCTTGTCAATTTGTTTCATTCACTGATTATTCTTTCAACATACTTTATAGTTTTTAAATCACTGAGAAATAACACCAGGTCTTTGAATGCACAGCTGTTCACTTAATCTTAATTTCTATATATAATAATGACAGTAATTTACAATATTGAATTATCCTCTATTGTATTATAATAAGTTTATTAAAGATACAATAAGCAGTTTGAAATTGATATCTACTAACAGTCTTCTCTTAATTATTACAGACTAGGCTTATAATTAAATCAATACCGGTATTTTTCAAGGTTAACAAATAAAAACTGTGAAAAAGTCTGCAGCCAAGCCTTATTTTACACTCAAAAACCATTCATGTAAGTTGTGACATTGTACTTCACCTTCTTAGAATAACGAATAGGAATTTCTGAACACAAGGGTGAAAATTAAAAAAAAACAACAAATACTAAGTTGCCTTTTCTTAATTCTTAAAATCAAGAATCTGAAGTTTTTATTGTCTTTGAATAGTCTATTGACTTACCCAAATTTATAGTTGGTATCTTAATCTAGCAAAATTATGCAGCTATGAAAAAAAATCTAGGTCAGATTTGAATCAATTATCCTTTTGAAATTCAAATCTTACTTCAACCACATATCTCAGTCTATTGACTTTTTAACTCACCTTTTTAGAGAAGATGACTTGTAATGAAAAACAAGTAGTTGCAAATAAAGCACTATATAAACCCAGAATTTCAAATTTGCTCTCTGTAACTGTGGCTATAATAACACCCCCTATGATAGGTAATATAGATATATACACCTGAAAAAATAAAAATTTCCGTAACATTCATGAACAAATAGTGAAATATATCAGCACACAAGCCTACAGCCGTACATAGCTAGGTATATAGTATAGTATACTGTGAATAGAACAATTTTGAATATGAAACAAAAAAGTAGTAAATAAAGGAATAGCCATGTTCAGCAGACATATATATCTATGATCAATGATCTGAGATATTCAGGTACAATAACAGTAAAGTTGAACTATATTCCACAGTGCTGTAGGCCAATGCTTCTGTTCTATATTCTTGCAAAAATTTGAACCAGTACTTTTTAATTATGGTTAAAGCTACTATGAGAATATCTTAATTTAGCATTGCCATGTTTTCTGGCACAATTCAAGGTACCTGTAATGTGGCTTTGGTGGTAAAATACTTACAGGCCATGTCTGTTTTTCTTTTAAAATAACTCTGGATAAAACTACTGTAAAGAGTGGTAGAGTGGCTTTCACTAGAAAATTTAAACATCAAATTCAAGCCACACTTACTATAGGATGTTATGCGATAATATCATATGAAATAATTGTAAACTATATATATTATGTAATAATGAATACAACTGTTTTTAAAGAAATCTGAGTGACAATATTCAAATAATGAATTTTCCATTCTTGGCATATTTACTTGCAGATGTATTATTTACTCCATAATGAGAAATACCAACCTGTATGTGCGTAGGAGACTGATGATTTCCATATACTGATGAAAGACGATAATGACGACAAAAATTTTCCTAAAGCTAAGGGAATGATCATAGTAAAATAATAGCGTTTCGGTATATTCAACTCAGTTGGTACTTTCATGTACCGTAAGAATGGTTCCAAACCAACTGACAATGTCACTAGGTAAGCCATTGTAATTGTCATAGGATATTGAAACTCGTTTAAAATAACTTTTCCTATAATGTTATCACACGAACTACACATATACCACATAATACATATCAACACGATTTTCAAAGCGTCCATATATGCCTTGTTATCCATTGTGATATGATATGTAGGTCTTAAAACCTAGAATGTTAATAACAAGTAATCTGTGATCACTATGTCCCATATAACATTTTTGACAGCTAAGACATATGTTTATGTTTTCATCTGCTAGACACGTTGCGGTGTAGGTGGCGCGTCGTCACTGGTTCGGGCTAAATCATTTTTTAACTCATCATTGAAAAATCTATATTTTCAAGATGAAAATTAAAAAAAACATTAATAAATATTCTGAACTGTATATTTTCTTCAAAAAGGACCTATGAAATGGTTTGCCAATAGTATGAAGTTTGAAATTGTTTCTTTAATGCAAATCACTGCGGAATCACAACATGTCAGCCTCCATGGAAAGCTCTCATTTTTTACACTAAAACAGAATTATTATTATTTTCTTTCAAAAAATGTGAGTGTAATTTGCTTCGTTTAAATATCGTACGTATACATATTCACACACTGGATAAGATAAGAGTTTTTAAGTTTAAGCATTAAGTTGGTTGGTGTCTATGAAATGTCAACTCTGGAAATCTCTGACACTAGGCCTACCCTATGGCTACACTCCTAGATGATCCAGAGAATGTATTTGGTTTGATAAGATTAAATATATTTCTATAATTTTCTGGGAGGGGAGTATGTCTATTTCAGTCAATGATCCGTATATTTCTATGGACCCAAACTGCCAAAGACATTCTAAGACAAATGACATATTGTTGAAAATTTCATTTTTGATATTAATGAAATGAGAGAAAAAATTCAATTCAAAGCTCAATGTAGACAGTCAATTTAAAAGAGTAGGCTGTTAAATTGACACCTCAGAATCCTCATAGTTTTGATCTTTCAAATTTCAGATTAATTATGTGATGAAAAAGAGAAGATTAATCAAGCTTGTGGCTATTTTTAGCCTACTGTTTTTATTGATACAGTTTGTTCTTTATAAAACAGTATATAGACAGGTAAAGTTTTGTAGTGGATTAGATTCAAACTTAAATCATATTATTAAATGAAAGTTTCATATTTTAAACAGAAATAATTTAAGTTATATGGATGCCAATTCAAACAAGCTTTCAGCTTACCATCCATTGTTTTCCGCGTGTATGGGATGCATGGTAGTTTAGTTATTAGGAGTGAAATCTGAGGATTTGAACCTACGCTGCCCAATTACCAAGTAGAAGTCAATGTAACTGTTACCAACTAAGCTATTCCACTGTCACTTTTGGTTAGTTATAAGATTGATACTAGATAGATGATAAGAGACGTAACAATGATTAACTGATCTGATGTATTTTGGTATATCTGAAATTCCTTGTTTGTAGCCTAATGTCTGAAGATCAATTTTATAATCTTTGTTGAAAATATTAGTAATTTTTGTCTTTTGTATCAGAGTGTTGATTATTTGAAGAAAAATTTCAGAGTTTCTGAAGAAGAGAAATTGGTAAGATATTGGATACATTTTTATAAGATTATAGAAATAATCTAGTAGCAAAACAGAGATAATTTTTTTTTTATTGAATATGAATATACGGAATCTAGTGGCTATTATCAGGACTGGAACTGGTATTGACAGATCAGAATGGTGCATTACATTGTCTGTTCTTTGGCCATTATACATTATATTTTTCCTAACTAATCATTAACATTAATATTATTACAGAATGTGTATTTTAGATAGTTACTATATTTTTCAGAGGTTATTATTACTGTTTCTTGAAACAACAGCTAGACATGAGACACCTTTAGTTTTATTAGAACCAGCTATTTTGACCTCAGTAGCAACCAATATAGCCTCTGATCTTGTTGCTTGTGCTCATCTTTGTCAGTCTTCTAATACCATTACCTTTGGTATTCAAGCTAGCAAAGCTGAGAAGGTAAATTCATATATTACATTTTGGAACTCTTTAAGAACATCATTTAAATAACAATTAACATTAAGGAAATGTGTATTTCTTAGTTTATGTACGAGCTGTGAGTAAGTTTATGCCTTATGGTTATTTCATTATTGCAATAGAATGAAAAGAAAGTAAAACTAATGAATTGTTTAGATAGACATCAGTGTAAATGTAATTTTTAAGCATACAGATACAGAAAGCATGTAATCAGTAAAAAAAGATATTTGTGACATTCTTGTAATCAAGCCTGTAATATTTTTTTATTTTCTTCTTGTAGACTGAACTGTTGGATGATTATGAATCTGAAGGATTTTCCATTGTCACAAATTATGTGAGAAAATCAGTTCATCTTCCCTCAGAATATTCAACCAATAAAAATCTTCCGTCTCATTATCTCCTGTTTCAAAATGGCATGGTACTCCACCTGGTGGTACTATATACTAGGGGAGATAACTTCATATGGTCTGATAAAATAGTTTTTAATCCTGCGGTACAGACACCTTGGTTTCATCTGAATAGAGCATCTTATGGTCAGCATGCTAATGTTTATGATAGGTACTTACTTATATTTCCTTTCAAATTGCAAGATTATTGTTATTCTCTAATTGATTGACAATTGATATCTTGGGATTTCTCAGCGCACTCGCTTTTGTCTATTTCATGGTGTAATTTTGCTGGATCATTCGGTGTAAAGGTTTCTTGAACATCAGGTGTGACAACCATTTTCAAGGGAATGGAATTTGAAAGGATTAGCCAAATCCAGCAAACTTAAATAACTTGCAATTTGATGGAGAATCTTGAAAATTCTATTTCTGAAGATTTCATTGTAATTTTTTTTTTTTTCGCAGTTTTGAAACAAGAGTGATAGAAATAGACAAAATTCCAATCACAGTGCCAAAAAACATTTTACAATTTGTAACAGAATCAAACAAAACATTTTTAGAGTGTAATTATAGTCAGGCTGAACAGTTTTATAAAAAATATCCCAAAGATACAAAGCCACAAGCTCTTCATTTTCAAAAGAAAGGGAGGCAACTCTTAGCTAAAGCAAAGGAAATTCTTGATGCCATGAACATTAAGTTTTGGTTAAGCAGTGGAACTTGTTTAGGTAAGAATTCATCTTACTCATTCTTGCTACTAGATATTGTTATTGTGCCAAACAGCTGTGCTGAAAGCTACTAACTTTTCTCTTTTAAAATCAAGTCACGATTAAAATATTAAGTTCAGTAAAATTTACAGTATTAAACTTATAGATGATGTATTAAATTTTTTGACACTATTCTGAATAGGGTCATGGCAGGTCTACAGCTCTTTTTGTTTTGAAGATGACCCCCCTTAAAGAGAGATCAGAAAATGAGTTTTATTTTTCTACCACTAGGCTGGTACCGACAGTGTGGTATTATACCTTATAGTAAAGATGTGGATATTGGAATATGGATCAAGGATTATAAAGATGGTTTAACTGAAATGTTTGAAGATAAGGGATTTCTTCTAAAACACTTGTTTGGTCGGGTAAGTTGGTCAATTACCTTGTTATTAGTTTTCCTACACCTTTCTGTTATTGTAAGTGTGTTGATCTGGTTCTATCATGAGATTGTGCTTTACAAATTACCAACTCAATTATCTTATGAGAGTGCTGCAGAGAGTCTGACCTGACATAAGACAGAAAAGGTTTATTAACAAGTTGTTGACAAAGGCAATTCAGGTTGTGCAGAAGACCCTAAAAACATCTTCTTTTATGATCTGTCTATTTCAGTTAAATGATAGTTTTGAACTATCATATCAACTAGGAGAAGTGAAGCTTGATATATTTTTCTTCTATGAAGAAAATGACCATGTATGGAATGGAGGAACTCATGCTTGGACTGGTCAAAAATACAAGTGAGTCAAATATTTATACTCTCTGTTCGGAAATCCAAATAATCTGGCTATGATACTCATAACATGATATTATTGATGAATACTTATGGATACTGAAATCATTCATGTTGGTACCTTACTGATTTTGTGTTTTGTTCCAGATATATATTTCCTAAATTTACCTTGTGTTGGACAGAACTGTTAGAACTAAAAGTTCGGGTACCGTGTGAGACAGAATTATACATCATAGCAAACTATGGACATAACTGGCATGTTCCAGTCAAAGATTGGCAGTGGAATAAAAGTCCTCCTAATGTCAAAGAGAATGGGATGTGGCCAACTAAACTGTGGGATACATTGATACAAGTCTATGATTGAAAAATTTTGTGAATTCTTTGCTGAAGAAAGCAAGAGCTGTATGAAAATGCGTTAAGGATTCAATGTTGCCAGTTTACAGCAAGAATCCAGCTGTCAAAAGGACTCTCTAGACCACTTTGATATTGGATTTTTCTCATCTTACCATGCAATGTTGTTTGTTTTTTTACTATTTTTTGCGGGTACATCCAACTGTGAAAATAATTCCCTCTATGTGAACTGGATGCAATTGCTTTAAATTAAGATTTTCATGGAGGTGCTATATATCACATTCTCTTTTTGTCATCTTTTTTTTCATGTGCCAATTAATCTGCAATGTGCCAATTTGTTTTGATTTTTTTTTTTTTTTTGCTGTGTTCTTTGTTTAAGAGACGAGATATTTTCCACACAACAGACATTATTTTAAATAATACACATGGCAATATGTGTTTGTTAAGAGGAATGCTTGACAAATTTGAGAGCATTTATTTCATTAATTGACATTATTTCAAGCTATTTGTTTTGTTTGTAAGTGCCATATTTTTTAGTCATTTTTGTTTTTAATTCATTTTGTATCTTTGTCATTTGCATGTGCAATATTGTAAGAATATTTCATTTTAATACTGGCATTAAAACATCTTTCAATGCCTTGAGGTCAACTTATCCATATTTCTTGGGTCCTTAATTTATGAATCAATGACACTTCATGATAGCCTGTCCACAACTTGAATGTGCAGCAGTGGGCCCTACAAAAAAGTATACGACTTTTTGTAATCCCTATCAAATATGGTATAGGATCTACTACACGTGCAGTTATTTGACATCATATATCATAGCTTTGATGCATTGGTCCTTATCTAAGAAGTGAGGAGAAGTTTCTTAGTGTTAAGAGAGAAGAAGTTCCTAAAAACTTCTATGTAAAGCACTGGCCAAGGTCACAAATAAAGAGATAAATGTTCAATACAAGATAAGGTGAAGTTAGCATAGTTAGTATTAAGTTCAAAAAACACCCACGAGTAATCTACAATAAACAAAAGTCTATAATATGAAAGTTTTCTTGTTACCAGTTCTAAAAGAAGAGAGTATATTTGTAGAGTGTTCAAATATGCTATATTAGTCTTTAACAGACATTATACTCTCCAATTGAAGGTGAGGCAAAGGCATATAAAAATATTTCAGTAGCCTACCGGTATGTAAAAAAATCTGTCTGCTAAAAATGCAAGTATCGTAGCCTAAGCATTTTGTACGTGAAATATCCGATAAAATGCTATCGGTGTATTTGAGTTGGTGAAAGTGGGTCGGATCTACATGCCAGACCGAAGAGAAAATTCATTAACATCAAGTAGGCCTACTGTTATGTGCAGAAAAGAGTGCCAAAAAATCGGTATTCTAGGTCTGGTTTCTATCAGTTCAATGTTGACATGCAGATTATGGTCGAGAGCATAAAATAACTGCGCATGCTCAAAAACACAGTGTGTATTCGCGTTTTTGTTCTGGACACAGCTCGAGATTCATTTAGAACAGGAGAACATCGTTCTTATCACTCTCCAATGAACATGGCAACCTAATACTATCGGAACAAGATTACAAATTTTGAGTGAATAGGTCTCCATTCGGGGAAAATTTCTGGACAATCTTGAGTGTTCGTAGCTGAACCTAACAGTATGCCTACTAAATTGTACTCGGATTGACTTGAGGTCGAGGCTAGGATACCACCACAAACAAGACCATCTATGATAAATCTTGACATTATATTTTGCATAAGAAATGAACATAATACACCCCGAGTTTATAGCAAAAATAAGATATCAGTAGGCCTAAGGCTGCTATGTCGGATACACCTCCGAAAAGGAAACGTGCCCGAAGGTCAGATGCGTTGGACTTGACAGAAGAGGAGAGGAAAGAGCGGAAACGGGGCCTCGACGCACGTTACAGACACAAACAAGCTTCCATTCGCAGAACATCTGTAAACATCGAAAGCCAGATGTCAAGATGGCTAGAATTTAAAACTTTGCACAGGGTTACTGATGACGAGGAAGTTGCTAAAATGCTTCTTGATCATCATGAAAGGTATTTTTCCTCTAAGTGTAAAGTTGAATTGGTTGTAAAATTATATTGCACCATTCAAAGTGTAAAAATTAAAATTGATATTTAATATTCAGTAGCCTACACTTGCAATTCAATCATTAAAACATAAGTTTCTATTTTGAGATGGGCATCTGCAGTACATTTGGAGAAAACCATTGCAACTATGTTCGGAAATTTTACCAATAATCCAACTGACACCCCAGCTGTTGCGAAGTCAGATGTAACATCATTCTATTAATCTGTGAGTGATACATAAGTGATTCATCCCTTTCTATTTTTGTACATTTTCTCATAATTGATGATTAAAAATAAAGTGAACTGCAATATTTTTCAAATGTAGGCTTATTAAAATTTTCAGGATAGATGTGAAAGTGAAAGTGGAGTCTGTGGATGACAGATACAATAGTCATGATGTTAATGCTTGTTCATCTGGGAATCATGGTGATGAATCATGTTTTTCCAGAAATCATGATGATGATGGTTCTTCCTCTGAATCTGGTGGTTTGGTCATGAAGTTGGTAACTGATGATGCTCAAGACACTGTTGTAGTTTACAAGTGAGTTATAATGTCCGGTACAACGCATGCCATTTGTTTAATGGAAGTTTTGTACATAATGTTACCAGGGATATTATTTAGTTTTAGTGTAGGATTTGATCAGATATTGAAAGAAATTGGTGTGCTTTTAAAAATGAAGTTGCTTTTCTACTTCAGTCAACGAAAAATTACGTCTCTGTTATGGAATAGAGTCTACATTATTTCCAATGAGATGCCTTTCTTTCTATATTTTGAGATACACAAGTAACTATTTCACAATATTTTCTCAGGGGAAAACCATTTTTTTAGCTTCAGTATTGTTATATGAACTAGCTAGAATTACTTATTATGTTGTTTTCTCATTGATATCCAATGTTTATCAGTAAATTTAATTACCAAGTATTACAGTAAACAAATAGTTGATATGTTTCAGAAATATTGATTGAGAGAGAAAACAGAGTAATTATCTTCAAGGCCTTGAGTATAGATGATCATAATGAAGCTCCAGATTCTACAATACTACTGTGAGTCATGTCAACAGCCTGACATTAACAGCCCACAATCAGCCTCATAGTATACAGTTTCTGAAACATGCTCATTGAAACTCAAGTCAGATCTTCAGCATGATTTATTACAACTAGGAAGACCATACCTGTCAGATTTGGGGTTGCATCGGTGAAGAATTGAGAGTAATTGGTTGAAAGGTTTGGAATTAATGCCCCTGTGTTAGGGAAGGATTGGAGTGAAAGGCTTGATAGTTATTTCCCCTGTGTAAAAGGGGAGGATTTGGATATTAGGAACAATTGCCTCTATGTAAGGGAGGAATTTTGAGTTATTTCCTCTGTAAATGATTGTGTGCAAGCAAAGAATTATCACAATCATTAGTATGAGGATTTAAATGTGACTAAAAAGAAAGGTTATGCTCTTATGATTCATTTGTAGCCAGGATTAGAAAGGAGTGATGGAAGTATGAACTTTGATGCAGTTTTCAGTCTTATAGCATATGAAATAAATGGTTTTGGACACTTTCGAATCTAACTAAACATTTTACATTAAACATTGATAAACATTTTAAACTTATTTTATTCTATTAATAAAATATAGAATAAAAGTACATGTAATATAAAATATTATATTTAAAAAACTGTAATTTAAAACTCCAATAATAATGATGAAAAACAAATTATATCATATATGACATGCTTTATAACCTACTGAACTAATTGTTTTGATTCTTTGGGATTGTGGTAATCGACTCCTGGATTAGATTAGGTCGTTGAAATAAACAAGGAGAATAAATCTTTAATTTGTATTAGTTCTGTGTAACATATTGCATATAGAAATTTGAAATATTCACATCTAAGATTATGAGAATTTTTTTGTAATTTGTTGAAATAATAAAAACATTAATAAAATAAAAAATGATAACTCATGCAAAGCCTGAATGGCTGACTTATGGTTTGCCTACATGTACTATAATGAAGTGAATGCAGTTCCACGACATTAATAATGAGAGAATGTTGATACAGACCTAGAACTAAGATTTTGGCCATATTCCAAATTTGATGTACCTAGGTTAGTGAATCTTAAACTAGCAACAAAACTATAAAAGACACTTTGTGGACAAATATCCAAGAATTTTATAAAGAAAGATAATATGAAATGGCTACTGTAAAATCATTTAATTTTGTAGGAATGAAATTGCGTAGAATATTTCTCTAGAGCATTTTCCCTGGTACATATATTTGTGGATTTCTATTTATCCTAAGTAAATTTTCCTGGTTTTTCATAGTTCATAAAAATTTGTGCAATTTAATATTAATTCCAAAATTTTGTTTTGATACCCTCTGCTAGAACCAGCCTTTTTAATCCCCCATTTACTCAGTAGCATTTAGGCTAAGGCTACTGCTGATTTTGAGAATTGTAAACTATGAATGATTAAATTTGTAAGAAGACTCTCTATGTGTTGGTTGATTGGATATCTTCAAAATTCACGAAAATCAATTCCCAAATGATATTGATTTCACAGTAACATTATTTAAAGCTATATAAACATGAAGTAAATATTGATATTTTTTTTATGGTAAAATCCAGGATAATGTGAAGTTGTTGGATAGTGGAATCTTGAATCCTGACAGTTTTAGCACCTGAAAAATATCATAAATATTCAGATCCATTTTTGTTCCATACATCTCCCTTCGTTTTTGTATAAACTTATACTGATGTCTCATTGTCTGCCAAAAAGCAACAGTTACTGATTTCTTGCTGTTAGGATAATATACTTCAGAATCTTAAAAAAAGGTCAAGAATAAGTTTCTTGTCTTACATGGTTGACTTCACTACAATAACAATATGAATGAATCACCTGTTTACCATATTAAGAGATTTTTTTTCTTAAGTTTGAGTTCGGAACATTTTTATACGCCCACATGAATATGAGCTCTGTGTTTTAATCATTTGTTGTATTTGGGTTATTGATATTGATTTTAAAAAAAATTGTGGAATTACTCAGCATAAATAACTAAGAAATCCTTATTTTGACAGAGATGACATACCTTATGAAAGCTGTTATACTGTATGTTAGTGTTACTGGAATTGGCTCCAGAAATGGCGAGTTCTGTTGCTAAAGGCTTAGATGGAATATTAAATACTATAATACTATGTATTTCTAAAACGTTGACTACGTTATGTTGTTTAGTCACTGCCATTGTTACTGTGGTCTGTAATGGAAAAACAGAAAGATTTAAAACATAAAGCATGAGAATTAAAACCATAAAGTAGGGATACACCTATATTGAACATATTTGAAATCCACTTGATACCCCTATAATACACTGATAACTGATAAAAAAAAAACCTTTGCTAATCAACTGGAAAGGGGTCTGGAGAAACTTGATTGTATGTTCTAAAAAGCAATAGATCTGAAGTGGTTGGAGTCCATGTATGTTTCAAAGCATTGACTGAGGCACACAAATTTGTATTCAAGTAAAAAGTCATTTTGTCTTACCGTCGTTGACGTGAATTCTGCAGTAAAATACTGGCCATTTTCAACATTTCCTGGAAAAGAAACCCAAGACGTTTAAAATTATTTTTAATCTGTATCTTCAAACATCAGAATGAAATTACCCTGACAAGATTAGGCTTGAACATCGAAGAAACAATCAGTACAAGTTAAATTGAAAATAGTTCTCAGTTAAAACCCATACATTACACGTGTCTTCTGTTCCCGACACCAATAGTGAACCGTTAAAATTAACAGATTGCACCATTCATTTGGTATAGATCAAATAAAAGTTGGTGGAGAAGAATTTCGCCCATGGCTGGAGTAAATACCTAATCCAAATTCCATAAATTTAGAATTCTCTAAAAAAAAAATAATACAATAAACGTTAATCAAAAATACACAAGACCTGCATTGATGAAGAAATTTATTTGTAAGTAGTTCTTACCTATTCCCTCACCATCATCCCAGAAAAGTGTTCCACTGGCCATACCATTGTCACCAGGCGCCACTATTAACTTGAATGGATTCAGTCGACTGAAATATGAGATTATTAATGCTTATCTTGGACGAAACATACAATATAATCCTAATGATGAATTGTATTTACAAAACACACAAAGGATGTGCTTATAGAATTGTAACTGAAGGTATTGTGTCTTTGATGATATTCAGTTTGCTTACCTAGACATTGTAGTATTAGCAGGACGTTGAGTTGGCAATATAGAACCACCTCGAATAAATAATGGAATGGTATCTCTTGGTGCTGGAACTGTTTCATAACCTCCTCTAGATTTAATTGTACTTCCCGTATAATAGTCATACCAAATAGTTGACCTACCCGGGAAATATACTTCTCGCCTTGACACTCCCTACAACAAAAGATTGATCATCTTATAGAGATCACAATGTAAAGTTTATAGATTTAATTGTCAAAATTGCTGTGTACTTTAATTATGCAATCCCCAGAGTATGGTCACATGTATGTACTGACAGGACCGTAACTAAAAAGTGGGGGACAGGAGGGGACGCATTGCGGTGCCCCCTGGAATTATATTCGCCCCCCCCCCCAGCCCCCCTCCTACACTGGCCTGTGTACTGGTAAATGAGCTGGTAACTTTGTTTTGTGTTACTTATTGGTATTCCCATCTGTGAATATGCTGATGCTTTAGAACATATGGCAAGTTTAGGACAAAAATTAACACCTACGGGTAAGTAGACCGGTGCAACCATAAATGATGAACCCCATAAAAATTGAGTTTCTATTTTTCTTGCAACTTCATCTGTTGGAAACCTAAAATATAAATATTACATGAGAACTAACCATTCATATGACTAATCACACACCGATTTTTTTAAGGTAACTGCTGAGATCGTCACAAGCTGTTGAGGCATGTATCGCAATCTGAAAGCTTCCTAATCTTTTATAGAAATATGAGGGACACAAATTAATACGATCAATAATTTAAAAATTTCACAAATTCTTATCCTAAAATAAAGTGGAACGGACCGAGATAAGAGATAGCGAGATACTCACTCATGAAATAATCCTCTGATAACAGTACCACCACGCTGGTTAACGTTGAAGAAAAGAGTATAAAGATAAGGTAAGAGGGAATATCTTATCCTCAATGCTTTACGTGATGATGATGCTACCTCGGCACCAAACGCAGCAGGATCTTGTGGCTGAAACAGTATTACACTTTAGTAAGTTCCTTTAACTACCAGATTTAGAATGCAAGTTTTGAACTACTTTGTTTAGATATACATATGTTTTGCTGATGAGCAATTTATCGTGGTGTTCCCAAAAGGAACTTGTACTTAAGATATTACAAATTTCTAACATGAATATAACACAATGTTCATTCAATTCTAAATATGTTACCTTATTGTTCAGTCCGTTGTGGTTTCTGTTGTAAGTGTAGAAAGCTCCTAGTTGCATCCATCTCTCACATAACTCAGGACTTGAATCACCAAAAAATCCACAAATATCAGCCCCAATCTACGCAATATGAAAAAGAGGAAAGAGATAGATATGTAAATCTGGTTTCAGATATAGTTCTTTTGTCTAATTCCCTTGAAAATGGAATGTTTATGCTAAAAACCTTTGAGTATAGACGTGTTTTGGTCAGACAAGTGGGTGATGTCTAGAAAACCCATGACCTTATGTTATGGTGAATAAGAATTACTTACATAAGGTATGCCAAACAAATTGAATTCAATTATTCCTGTAATAGAAACACATTTGGTTATCACCAATAAAATGGAATTAAAAATGCAATGCTGATTTGTGTGTAACAAGATACAATATACGGTGAACACTCTTTGTATAGTTTTGATACACAACATGTTACTGACTATCATTTAGATATTAAATTCTGATTGTCTTCATCTGGTAACAAATTGTGCACAATATCACTCGTAATGATGAACATTTTTTGCATACTATGAAAGATACCGAGTTTGGTCATTTATTATATATTACATACCTATAATAGAATCATACAGATGTTTCCAGCTACTGTCATTATCACCCAACCAATGACCAGCATACTGACCACTGCCAGGATATGTAGATCTTGAGATAACCATTCCACGTTTACCAGAGGCTGTTTGTAGTGCTCTGAACGAATAAATATTATTGGAAACAATAATGGAAGTTTCAATTAACATAAGTCTTATAATCCACTCTCTGCCTCGGCTGAACTTTGGGTAACATGACGCATAGCTTTACATTGGTGATGTAAATGCAACTACGGGGGCTTATGTCCAGATCTTGTGATTAACATACCTTAATGTTGGTTCTGTTTGACTCCAACCATATAAACTATGAACATCATAATGTCTATAAACACCATTATTCTGTAGTGAGACCATACAAACAGTCTTCTCCGATAACCGAGGACCATAAACAGATACTGGTGGTAAAAATACAAACCAAATAATACACTTGAGAGCCAAGCATTATCCAATTGTTGTTTTTATGGATGTTGTATCGAAAATTGATCCATGAGTAGTATTCCGAATAAGGACAGGCAGACAAAAGAGTCCTTCACATTTTACAACCGTTATAACATGTAAGTCAAACCTCTTTCCACTGACCATTTACAGACTGCCAATAAACAGTTAAGAAGATGGGGAAAAATTAAAATTTATAATTACTTGGTTTATATGGAGGATCATCCCATTTGTTGGTAGGACATTTTAAACTCCAGTAGGGTTTATCTTTCTCTGGCCAGTTAAAAGGCCTTTCTTCATTGGTTCCAAAATTAGCTGGTTCATTCATATCCTAAAAAACGTATTTATAGAGTTCCAACCATACTTTTTTTTAAAAAAAAACTATTTCTTAGAACTATATATTCGTATCATTTCCTATAACTATTGCTTATTATAAAACTTCTGGAAACTAGAAGTGTTTCTTTGAGAAGGATTCCTCTCCCCATTCTAACGTGATGATGTATATGGACTTATTTGTTTATGATGTTGATGTTGATGATGATATTGTCGTAGTTGTTGATGATGATGATGATGATTTTGTTGTAGAGTTTGATATCAATAACGATGATGATGATAAGATGATAAACTCACAATCCACAGCCCATCGTAAGGTATTTCGTTAAAGTGATCAACAATCAATTCACTCCAGTAAGAACTAGAATTTGGGTTCAAGAAATCTGGGAAAACTGTTTTCCCTTTGGGCCATACCTGAAACAGTTATAAAGAAATCTTGAATATCTAGTGAGCAACTATCTTAAACAGCGCTTTATTGAGTTGTGAATACCAAGCATTATTTGGTCTTATTCCTACCACTGTTCATTGCTCAATCAATTTCACTTGAAGGAATTTCTTCGTAATCACCTATATCATGACTTAATAATATAATATTTCTTTTCAGATAACAAATCATATTGAATTGTCAGAACTTACATATCCGAGAACATTATCATTTTGATATTCATCATAGTCTGGATTCATACCAGTTGGCCATTTGATATATATATTCTTCTCTAGGCCTAGCTCATATGGTCTGTAGTTTGTCACATTACTGATAATCGCAGGATCCTAGACACATAGAAATGGTTTATCTGATAAATGGGATATATGTATATATTACGAAATGAACATTACTAAATGAAGCATTGCCAAATTAAAAGTTTTAAGATAGTCCTATGTCTTCACCATCTTCTTAAAGCTCTTGAAAATTTTACGTTAAAAAAAACTTCGAATTTCCTATAATTATATTGCTGTGAGATATATTATTCATCAATGACAAATTAATTGGTGAAACATTGTATGGCAAACATACCAATATAATGATAAATCGCATCCCTCGATCTTGAAGATCTCTTACAAACTTAGACAGATCGTCAAAATTAGTCTCATCAATAGTAAAATCCATTCTTTCATCCATATGATCTATATCAGCATATTGTACATCCTGAAACATCAATAAGTAATATTAAAAAATAATTTGCTTGTGATGTGCAATTAATTTTCAAAGTTTAAAATTAAAATACTTGTAGGTTGTATTTGGTCATCGTTGACTGTAATTAGACAATATTTAACCATAATTTATTACAGGATATTGAGAAATACTGCATTGCATTAATCTGAAGGCCATAATGTGAATACAAGGGTTATATCAGGGGTAACGATGACAAATATAAAAATAGTTTATGCTTTTGAAACCATAATGAATTTAGGATTTCCAATACACTTACAAAAGGAATATCTGCAGCAATAGTTCTATCTACTGCTTCTTTCATAGTTTGTAAACTATTGTAACCATAGCGACATAACTGAAACCCTAAAGACCAATATGGAGGTAGATATGGTCGACCAATCATCTACAGAAAGAAAAAAGTAAATCGAGGGAATATTAGCATTCGATATCATGTTTTTGAGCCGTTTACACTTCGAAATTTTCTTATGGATTTCCCAAGTAGACTTATTTCTTACTCCTACAAGCAAGATATCGCAATCAGCAATAGCCAGTTCAAAATCCCAAAGCTTCTATTTCTAATACATTTTCTACTGCTTTCTGGTCTGAACACTTTGTTAACGATTAATGAGTTGCATTAGAAAAGACCATGTGTAGGCCTACAAAGATTAAAACAGTGACTAACTATAAAAGATTTTTAGTATGAGATGAGGCAAAACCCAAACCTACATTTGTATACTGCTGAATGACTGACTCTGGTTCTGGGCCAAGGAATATATAAAAATCTAACACCCCACCGATAGTTCTGTAGGTTATAGCTGGAGAGGGCTGGAAACCAATCTCTGAAAAATAACATACAGTTTTGATCATTTGGTACTGTTATTGGAAATGCCTGACGAGAGGCAGCTTTATCTCTTGGGAGCACCAGTAGAGATCGCAACAAGTAAGACTGTTTTCATAATAACTAGTTCAAAAGAAGTCGGGTTCAGTGATCTCTTTCAGTAGTTATATTAACCAATAACCGTTCTTGATGTCATTTAAACTGCACTCAATAAGTACACTTTATATAAATCAAGCGGTCAGGAGAATACTTGAAAGTGCAGGTGACGGACCAGGCTGAACTGTGGTACTTTAAAGCTCACATGATCGGATTTCAAAAAAATTTCCATGTCAGTTTCCCAACTCTATGACAGTCATAGATTACTGTATCCACTATTCTAATACTGGTTTACTCCTCAGCACATAAATATCAGGACATAACTTACCCATTGCATTACTATTGAGTAAGAGTATACCATGTGTATTACCCTGGTCGTCCTCAATACAGGAATGAAATGGATGAACACCGTATAGATTACCATAATCCTATAAAATAAGCCATATAAAAATGTTAATATGTAATTTACAAGATATGGGAATGGATTGGTATAAACGGAGGTTATTATTCACCCGACTATAAAGCGATCTAAAAGTCTTCAATCAAACGATATAAATTTAAATTCGATAACGTATACATGTATAACATTTTAAATTGAAGATAGCTTGCCAGGCAAGGTAATATACGCCCACTGGCAGCTTTGATTTTAAATAAAAAAATATTTGATAGTACAGTAACAATTACCAGTATGAAATATTCAACCTTCAGGAATACACTACTTTTTAACTTTTTGAGGCAATACTGAATAATATTACCAAGTTTCGTCAAAATCTGCCGAGAATTGAACCTTCTCTAGAGTGTACCTTACGAGCGTTTACGAGCAATTGTGGACGGACGGACTGACGGACATGGGTGACAGCATGTCAGAATGTACCCTATGATAGCCATGCAAGGAAATATTACGACAATACAAACTTACTCCCCATCCGGGTGCTTGATCCCTTGAAAACATCGGCCATCTTGTATAGTTGAAATCATGACGTAGACTGAAATGTCGATTTTCACCAAAACCATAAAGATCCTTAGAAGGTACTCTGGTCACTAACTGCAAGAACTGGTCAGCGAATGTTAATCCACCAATTGATGTATCAAATCTGTAACCACAAAGACATCTTCAGCAACATATGAGTCTAACTATATTTAAAGGACACGTTCTTTACGGAATTAATATTGTACTTTTACATGAACGACCCTAAATCATTACAATATTTTTATCCATTAACTCAGCTCATATAAAATTCAAGACAACCATATTAGATATAAAACATGACATGAAAATCGAAATTGATAGAAATGGGAGCAGAATCAAATTGCCAAAATGATAGAATTGTATTTGAATTCAGTAAGACCATCACTTCCCGAGATTGATCATATTTACAAAGTATTGAGCATTTAGAATATTGAACGGAAAGATGATTTCCAGCCAAATAAAACAAACGGATCGATAAAAATATCAAACACATACTTACATAGTTGTATTAGTTGAACGTCTATTAATTTTAAATGAGACCCTATTTAAATAGTCTATTTCGTAGATGAATTTATACTTGGGATTGTTAACTGTTGCTCGTTCAAAATTTAAACTAACGGGTACTTCATATCTTGATGAACTTGGATCAAATAACTGAAATACACATAAAGCATTATTCAAAACATAAAACATCACAGAATAGTATAACCATAAATAAAAGTTTAAAATTTGATGTGTTTTGGTGAGTTTATTTAAGGAGTTTCAAAGAGATGTGAACATGAAAGATACCATAACCGAGTATGATGTGACCAATTGTAAATTATTTTCATTCATCTGATCTCATAATATTAATGATATAAAAAAGCAATCGTCTGTTTTTGGAAGACTATTCTCACCTTTAATCTGATAAGATTATTATTGATATAATCAACTGCTAGAGTTACATTGAATATATCACCAGTGAACATCTGAGATTGGTTTCTCCACTGTAAATGATATAATGTTTCTGTACCGACGGTTGACGTCAAGTTTACGTTATTATAACCATATTGTGAGCTATAGAAATATAGATATAATTCATTTCATTATATCTATGATCTACAAATGGGATTTTTACTCTTTGTCAAATAATGAACTGTGTGTTCCGTGTATTGATTAAGAACATTTATATCTATTATAACAATAGAAAGCTATAAAATTGTCATGCTATTTGTTACTTTTTTTTTATCGAAGACCGCAAATCTTACTTATCAATAAAACAGACCGGTATACCATCAACATCATTCACCGGTCTCCATATACAATTTCTTCTTGTGCATTCTGTCCGTTCATCTACAATACAGATGATAAGCTTGACGTTGAAACCAGCCAGTAGCAAAAGCCACAGGGATAGAGATTGCGTCTGTGGAAATATTATGTCGAAGGTTTTGAAATGGAATCATATCATGAAAGACGTGAAAATTGCTAAATGTATTTGGGATCCAATGTGTCACTTTTAATCGAAATACTCTCCGGATTAGTTTTAGGGAGTGTTCTTTTTTTCTTTTCCTTCTGTGATCGTTCCGAATCATGAACGATACAAGTAGTATATTACAAATACCTGTATATTTATTAGCATCAGGTAGACAATCTATTCTATCATATTCTTCTTGTGTTCCTTCTCTCTTCCGACTCCATTCAATAACCGAATTTTGTGCCAAATCCAGTCCAATGTGTTCTATCAACAGTTTCTAAAACATCATACAAAATAAGTCTTAGTGTTGTCCCTTGTCAATCGAAGGGATCAAAACTGAACGTGTCCAATTAAGAAGTAGGAAGAACCGACGCGATGAGAAAATACTGTGGTTCTATAGTTATAGTTCTACTTTTCAAAAAGAAATAAGCTGTGGATTATCAGATGTGGATTAATGACCATGTTACTGGAATATTATCACAAATTATCAAGGTTTACTACAGATACTAAAAATAAAAGAACTTTTACATCATGGAAATCCAAAACGTAAGATGAAAATTTCAAAGGATAAGTGATCATCCTGATTTGCAACTAAAATTCAAGAAAAAATTGACTATCATTTATTACGTCATAGAAACTCTACCTTGTAAGCTTGGTGGTTAGTAAATCTGTTATGTTCTTTACCATTAACATGAACATAATTCATCCAGTTTTCTACACCCAGTATTTCAATACTGTCAACCATCAGTTTATTTCCATTAGTTATATTGTCATACTGTACTCTAATATCCAGACGATTCTTAAAACACTCAAAATACATGGACAGATACATTCCATTTTCATAAGTATCTAAAAAGAGTCAGGGACCAACTGTTACAGAAGCTTGTGCTAAATATAAAATACCAAGTTAAATCAAATATTAATAATAAGCTGGAACACAAATGTCGCTAAAATATCTTAAGAGCGAACAGAAGGTGGACGGTGTCCTGTGTAGTGTCCAGGATTATCGATGCAGTACAAAATAAAAAAGGCGAATCGTCCCCTCATCGTCTTCAGACCCGTGTCTCAGGAATAAGTGTCTTCACTTTTGTAATTCATGGATAATCCCACATCACACACCGCATCGCAACGTCCACCTTTAATAATGATAAAATCAGTTACATATATGGCTTCCATCCATACACGATAAATGACGCCCATACACATACCTATAGAATCGCCATCATCCCAGAATAATTGACCAGAAGCATACAAACCGCGACCTGGGATGTTTTCCATAGCCACCATCAATTTAAATGGCTTTTCTCGACTGAAAATAAGAATAGAAATGGGCCCCAAGGTGAATAACGATATATAGATGACGACACGTCTTGAGTATTAGTCTATTTCCTATCATTCCAATTCAAAACTGAATGTTTAAAACAAAGTGCCTATAGAAATGGTATGTAATGCCTAACGTGATCCTTAAAGGGACAAGTGTCCCATTTTGGAGGGGAAGGTTGAATATATGTAAATACTCTTCAGAAGTACTAGAAATGTACGAAAATCTCATAATTCCTTCAAAAATATTTCAAACTTTGAATTTCTATACCTGTTTCTCTAGATGTTTTTGAAATATGGCAGTGTCTCAAAAAGGACGCAGATAATGCTGGAAACACATTGATTTGAAAGCTCTTGAATACTATTACTGATAGGCTTGGCTAAAAAATGCCCGTTTCTGAGACTGAATAATGATTGGTCAAAAAATGACGCATCTGTTACTTTATCACCCACTTACCTGAATCTTGTATTGTTAGCGGGTTCTTGTAGTGGTAGAATATAACCACCACGCACGTGTAAAGGTATCTTAGAATTAACCGTTACTTTAACATTTTTATATTCATTACCATTGGTTACTTTTTCACCCTGATGAAAATGAAAATACAATTTGTATTTAGATGAAGCAGTTGTAGAAAATTCGAAGTGTGCTTGACCAATACAATATCAATGTCAATATCGACAGAATTATACCATAAAGCTATCCTTGAATGTTTATGACTGCCAAATATATCAATGATGTTTATCTCAAAGTGAGGGTTCATTGATGCTCATTTTCATGTAGGTTTGAATCAGCCCATAACAAATTATTAACATGGGACAGATGAAGATACGCAATCATTACACTCTGCATCAAATAAATTAGCAAATTAAAATAGAACGAGTCTTATAACTTACAGTGTAGAAATCATACCATCTTCCACCAGGTAAATAATAGGAAACAGATTTCTGATCCTGAATAACAAAGAACATATTACAATAATACCTCTTCCAGACTACATTTATAGGCATACGAAACTATAAATTATGGTGTTCAACTAGCTAGTAGATTGTGGAAACGCGACCAGAACGTATATATTTGGGCATAGATAGATAGATAGATATTTATAGTATTGTTCGCCCTTTTTGGGCAGCATACACCATGATACAAGATAATACATAATAATAAGTGATACAAATATGACATACTGATATCAATTAATAGTTATACAAAAAAATATAGTGTATACACAAACAAGTTTGAAAAAAGCAACATCATAACAAAATAATGCATCAACAAATACACACCATATGTGGAGACAAGTTTTATAAACAAAATATATATAAATTTATGCAACAGCCTGACGGACTATATCAAGCAAATTAATACTATCTTATTTTAAGTCTAAAAAGACTCTCACATGCTAAGTTAACATAAAGGAATAAAACACCAATAAATATATCAATAATTCTGTTGTAATTCGTTTACATATAATATTATAATACAGAAAACCTATTTATTTCTGGATTCTAGTGCGTAATAAAAAAATTTAGAAACAGCTAGAGCCAAACTGTAATTTAGCGGATCAAAAAGAACATAAAATGACAAAGGAATTGTATTTTAGGGTATTGTATTTAGGACATATCAGGAGGAAATGGTATTCATCTTCAACCAAGGATAAATCACATTGTTGGCATGTGCGTTTATCAGCAGGAATTTGTCTGTACCGACCTCTCTCAATTTCTAATTGATGTGTACTTAGTCTTAATGAGGTCAATGCGGTTTTGTATTTGGGATTTTTGATATGCTTTAGATAGTGAGTTGGAGTAGAAATAAAGGGTTTAACAGAACCGTATGTTCTCAATTTATTGTGGGGCGGTTGATTGAGTCATGATAAATTACAGAATGAAAAGAATTTTGTAATGAGAGCTTAATTTGTTTAGGTGAGAAATTTATGGGGTCATTGTTAAAGTTATTAAGGAGGGTGAAGACAGCATTTGTCCAAGAAAATTTTGGTTGACTTGAAGCCAAGTTCAAATCCTCATTAAAAGCTGCATTTAATAAGGTGTTATTTTGAAGAGTGGAGTTATCAAGAAATCTTTTGAAATATATAATCATTCTGAGGTAAATATCTAATTGTAAGGGAAATATTGATAATTCTGATAGACATCATATGTATGTCAAATCCAACGACTTCCCAAACCTCAGTGAAATTTCGCTCAGCTATAATAGTGCTGTGATGTACGTCGATAGCAAGGCGGTGCATGCTTTTAGTCTTTTTTGTACTAGGCATCCTTTTCAGAGAGTCCATATATAGCTTATATTTATCATTTACATGTAATATCTTCATCGTCAAACATGCTCTATAATCTAACTGATATCTGAAGCACAGTTGTGAATAAATTTACCAACCTGATAAAGAATAGGAGATATCAGTAAAGCAGGGCCCCATAAAAACTGAGTATCAATACCAAACGTATTGCTATCGGTAGGATATCTGAAATTATAGAAGGTTGATTATATACAGTTTATATCTACTAATACGGTTTTAGTGAGATAAAATGGCTATTGATAAAATCAATACAAAATTCTCATTCGGAATTGTAAGGATGTAAGGGTTTAGTGTTGGTGTTTTTTTTTTTTTTTGGGGGGGGGGGGGGGGGGGGGGGGGGGGNT